TGGTCGTGACACTTAGAATAAATTTCATAAAAACTGTAACGTTTTCGATTCTAAAAGTTTGAGCTGTCAATCTGCTTGAAAATATCTGACCCTCATACCTCTATCGCGACAATGAGACTTGGCACAGTATTTCCTGTGAAAGTGGAACCGTCGACACTGACTTCCTCAGCCCATCCGCTTGTTATCAGAACACCGGCATGTCCCCGATGTTGGTCGATCACTGTGACATTTCGGATTTTTACGGACCTTAGCGGAGCAGCAGGGAACTCTACGATATGGATGGCATAGGATGAACCATTGGATACCTAGAACTCTCGAAAAAATTAGGAACAACTCAAGAAATGGTTTTTGTATCGAAGGTCAACGATAGGTGTCTTCTTTTCTGGGAGCTTCTTACCAACACATTCTCCAAACTGACGTCGTGTGTAGGTGAGAGAAAATCGATACCAGAGCCCCATCCATCACGAATCGCTACATTACTGTAATCCCATTTAATATTCCGTTATAGGGAACAACCGTGCTATACGATATTACCTTATGGCTATCGATGTCCTCCGCTCATCAACGCCTATACCACTGCCTCTCGCACGCAAGATTTCCGTGTTTCCAAGATCAATGTCGGGTCCAGAATTGGCTGTGATTTCAACACCGTGAACCTAAACGTAGTGGCTTATTACACAAATAAAACCGCCCTACATTTATGACAAGACTTCTCAATTCAAATTCAAACATTGCATGTTCGCTGGCTTCGTGTAAAAGAATTTGCATAATTGGACCGGAAACTTTGGCTTTGACGATTTCTTCGAATAGTTAATCTAAAGAGCTCACCACTGAATCCACAATTGTGGCGTTTTCCACCGCAACTTTTTCGGAATCAATCCATAAGCCAATCGACGCGCCTTCAATGGCTGTGTTACTCAGCACTAGAGTTCCACCTAGACACGTATCTCTCACTATACACTATACTAGCTGGGTTTCAGATACATGAAAAACTTTCAAATTTGGGCACAAGACATGAAGTTACAAAAAACTTCCAATTCAACTTTCAATGTCAACGGATTCTGACAGATACCCGCCCGGTATCAGTTAGATAAATGCCGGACTTGTTGATGTAGTTACAGATTTTGTGGATAGAACTCCATGTTTAACTTTATTATAAGAGGCACGCAATATTTACTGTGCAGCTTGATGAATCTAACCTGGCTTAATTACTATTCCTCGCCATGTAGATTTCCCAAACAGGCGAATTGGCTCCGTCGCCGTTCCATTCAGGTACAACTTCCCTGCAAATATAATTTTCAAATAACTGCTTGTAGGAAGCCATTGAGGCCAGGGTGGAAATAACACAATTATAGTATTGTCATCGAATTACACTCAATTTATGCGTTTATAGTCACGCTACCTCTTTCTTGCACCGTAATTCCTATACCGGGTGCGAATTCAAATTGTGTTCCAGGCTCTACGATGACGATTTGACCGGGATAAACTGCAACCTCTGAGTTGATACTGCAATGTGGTGAGATGA